AGAAGAAAGCGTTTGTGAATGTTATACAACGAAATAAATGAAGGAAACAAAAATATAGAAAAGAGGAGAAGGGAAAAACAAGATGAAGGAAGAGAACATGAAAAGGAGGAAGAATAAGAGGAAGAGGAAGAGGAAGAGGAAGAGGAAGAGGAAGAAGAAGATATTAAGTCTAAAGAGAATTTTATTTGCTGTGCAGGATGTGTGAGAAAAATTTGTACTTTTTAGCGCTAAATTGGGTGCAACTCCAAGGTTCATACCGTTTACTGTTGTTAGACCTTGTAGGAATAAAATTTTCCATTTTCTATCCAAGTTTCTAACCGTACTCAATCCTTGATAGAGATCTATACTCATCAGTGCAGTCTACACTAACTAGCTTGACTAAAATGTATGCAAGAAGAGCAACAAAAATTACATTGTAGAAACAGAGTTCACGTTCAGCAAATATGTGTGTTATTCTTGTCTACGACGGTCTGACTTAGGTAAGTTGGGCATCAAGTATATTAGCAAGAAGAATAGATTAAGACATCAGCTTTATCATGGTCTTGGAAACTAAACCACTCGCTTGTCAGCACGCACACGCAGGTGTGTAGAGTTCATCATGGGGATGGGAAGGAGATCAATGTGTAGAGAAGAATGAAATCATCAAAGAATCCAGAACGAGGGGACACGGGCTCAAAATAAGGAAGCCCCACTGCAAATCTAAGATGAGGCAGATGTCATTTTCAGTGCGGAGCATAAATAGCTGGAATAACCTTCCTGAAATTGCCATTAAATTTATATCTCATCAACACGTCAGAACTTGAAAATAATTGGAAGCACCACTCGCTGAAATACTACCCATACCAACGCGAATCAATACGCATTAGCATTGACTCTCTATGCTTTGCTCGAGTGGTGTGGATCGTGGAGCAGAGCTGAGCTGAGCGAATGGTGGTTTTCTAATTCACGCTAACATGGTTTGTAATAGTATGGGACTGAAGCATGGATTTCGAATGTTGTCATAGCATTGCCATTAATTGGTTTTAAAACTTACCTGTGGAATGACCTTCCACGAACAACAGCTCGATCCGAACGGTTTTTACAATTAGTAGCAGCACATGAAGACATTTTAGCACAGATCAGATTAATTCATCAGATTCAAAGGAATTTTGACTTGACCTCATTCTCTCTAGCTAGACAGAATTGGACGATTTGTTTGGGGTCTCTCAAGATGGCGTCCGTGATAGATGGCGTCCGTGATGGCGTCGCAGAGATGCACGTACATACGTATACAGGCGCGTACGCAGGGGGGTGTTTAAGGGGTTAAAATAAACCCCCCCCCCTTGGTATTTTTGTGTGTAAACCCCCCTAAAAAATCCCTAAAACCCCTCCCCCCCCCCTTTGTTTGTTTGTTTGGTTTTTTTTATAATTATTTTTAAAAAAATCCTGCGTACGCCACTGTACGTATATTATATGCAGCACAGAGTTCAATACCGCGTAGCCTGTTTGAGTGCCAAGGTGGTTATGAAAAATGTAGTTTTTGTTGTATTCAGTGTTATAAGGAAATCAGTCAAATCAAAATGTTTGTTTTCATGAACTTTATTTATGATTGTTAATTTACCTCTCTCTTTTCTTTTCATTGTTTTCTATTGGTGTCGATGTAGGCCTAGACATTTTTTCAGTTTTTTAATAGGAAATAATATTAATAATTATTATGATATCATGTCAGGTTATCAAATCCTACCATGTCATCCTGTAGGCATATTCTATTCAGAGGTTGGGGGGGGGGTGATCATTTCGAGCGAGGGCAGAGTCGCAACACTGTGCCCCTATTTTCCGAAATTCAAGTGCCCGGCCCAGTTTGTAATCAAGACCGTAGACATTCCCTGTCACACTGAGTTTTCACTTCAATTTTTTTTTGGATATAGATCTAGTCTAGATCTACTTATTTTTTGAGATGTTGCTTTTTTCAGGTGCCAGTCAATTACTTTTATTGAAATTGCAATATACCCTTCTTAAATACTAAACCTAGTAGGCATACATCAATCAGAATGCCAATCTCTTATAATTATGCCCCCCCCCCCCCCAAAAAAAAAATGCACGGTGAGAGCCTATATACAAGGCCCCTTTTGTCGCCCCCTCCCACGCAACAATGCTCCGCCCCCTTGTCTGATTTGACATGCCTTTGGTGGATATGAAATGAGTTTAGATCGGTGTATACATAATCAAAATGAAACTGAACGCTTTTTCACTCTCGTATAACTTTCGTTAACGTGTTAATGTTACAATGATTTTATAGTTCTTTTGTTTTTGATTATTCAAAACAAAACATAATAAAGCCCAATAAAAACATATACTAAATGTTCTCCAGGACAGTAAATTTATTCCTGAAAGAGGTGCACTCTCGTTAGCTCGAGCGCTCAAACATATGAAAAGAAAAAAATCAATAAAAATCGATATGAATAAATTTTGTTTCTCTTATCCTTAAGGGAGATTTTTATTTCCATAATTTCAATACATATTTACATTTAACTACTCAATGATTGAGTGACACATAACAAGTGCTAAAAATCAAAGTATATTCAACAATTCTTTCAGCTTAGTAATATTTTCTTTGCTAACACATACCTTAAAAATAATCTTATGAATATTAATATTATGCCTGTCATTGCGATCGACTAAATGAGTAATTTGCATCTCCCCTCCCCCGAATGATATATTTGCATAATTTGTCCATATATTTCATGATTGAATGATTTAATATACGAACAAAATACTAAAATCGATTTATGAAAACAATATTTATACGATGGAACATGCACAGAGAATTAAATTGCATAAAGATATGAACAAACAGATTTGTTTTTTTGTATACAACATGTACAAACAGAGACAAATATGATTCTAATCGACAACATGCGCTTTACAAACATTTCAAAATCAAGATACGAATGCAGAAGACAATAGAAATAAAGACATAATAGAAATTATTACATATGTATATATTCATGAATTAGTGTAGGCCTACATTAGAAAAATCGATAGATAACTGCTTTGCCAAAGGAATTTTGTGACGCGTCGGGGATCGAACCCATGACCTATGTATTTCAAGTCAAGTGCTTAAACCACTCGACGACGACACCTCTACAGTTTCCGTTTATTATCCGAATTTTCTGTTTTCTGTTTTACCGGTATATACACAGTAGTGCAAGACAAAAAGCTTCAGAAGCTTCAACAAATTATCTATTATTCTCTTATTTATTACTACTATTACTAAACCGACTGGTTCTAAAGAGTTCAATTTTTTACAAAGTTGTTAATGTTAATAATTATTAAGGTTGAAAAATGTATAACATGAAATATATACGGAGTTTAGTGCCTTCCACGTTTTTATGGTCATGCGCAGTTCTCTAAGAGAATATTTTCAGGGGGTTGGGGGCTCGGGGTTCTTGCATTTATTATTGACATGTGCCGTGCCTAAATTCATTATGATCAATCGTTTTAGGGGGCTTTAAAAAAATGGTTTGAGGGGCTTAATTGAGTTCCCTAAGCTCCCCTCCCCCCCCCCCCCTCTGGAATTGATACTGCTTATGACAGCAAGTGTATACAATTGACAAACAATAATTATCAAGAAAACGAGGCACTAATACAATGTAAGATAACAAGATTTAGAATGTGAAATGTATCGTCATGCCGTCACGCCGTCTTCAAAGCATTTGGGTACTTTGTCGAGAAATTCACTCGAACTCCCTCATTTCAAGGTCTGTAAAAAAGATATAATATTTATATATTGATATCAGTGATAAACAGTGTCTTCCCGACTTCTTCTCGTGATGCTTATTACAAAGGTCTTTATGCATGTACATGATCAATTTGTAACTTCTGATAACATGATTAATTACATGATTATTAGGCCGCCATGATTAATTTGTAACATGTTTTGCTACTTTTGTATGTACTTGTATATTGAAGATATCCAACATTGACGAAGGTGACGGAGTGAGAGGGAGTGGCTCGAACGGAGAAGGGTCTGCCAAGGCCAGGGGGATCTAGGGGGGTTCGGCGGTTTAACCATCCCCCCCCCCCCCCCGGGCGGCCAAGTAAACAAAAAAAGGGGGGAAAGAAGAAGAAACAAGAAGGAAAAAAAGAAGAAAAAAAGTAAAAACGGCGCAATTTTGGAAAAATCCTGGATCCGTCACTGGGTCAAACCCTTCTTCTTCTTCTTTCTTTTTTCTTCGTTTTCTTTCTTTCTTTCCTTCTCTGTTTCTCTTTCCCTTTCCCTCCCTCCTCGGTTTTCTATGTCAAATCTTCTCTCCTTTGTATTTTAATTATCATTCGTTCGGATGCGTTTTAACAGAGGGTTAGTGTGGAGAGTGTCGGAGGTGAAGGTGGGGGGGGGGGTAATTTCCCCTTCGAATAGGAAGGATAGACTTATCTGATCTTCTTCTACTTTCCATTCCTATCTATGGAAATAAGCCAATTATCAGCTTTTATAGATTATTATTATATATTTTGTTCTCTCTCTCTCTCTTAATTATTGTGTATTGAATGTGTAGATGTAGGCTACTTATTCTTACGAGAAAAATTCATTCAATCAATCATTTTTTTTTGGTCTTAATTTTCGTCCATTTTTCTTTTCTCATCGATTTATGATGGGATAGGGCCCATCGCACCCATCTGTGGCGTACGCAGGATTTTTTCAAGGGGGGGGGGGGGGGGGTTAACATTTTTAAATCTGGCCGAAAATTTCGCAACGCCTAAGCCAGCCGCTAAATAAGCGGGGTGGGGGGGGGGGGGGGGGGGGGGGGTAAGAGCACATATTTTATTTTATTCTTGGTCCCAAAAATTTCGCAACGAAAAAGGGGGTAAGAGCTCCTTTTTTTTTGAGGGGGGGGGGTCATCAAAAATCGCCTGGCACCCGTCATACTAATCTTTCGGCGCCGCTACGCCACTTTCTCCATCCCTCTCACCCACCTCCTCTCTTTTTTTCTTCCTTTTTTTTTTACACACATGTACAATATTCACTTACCACCACGAGCAATGATCTCATACCCACTCCAGGACTGAGGGTAGAACTCATAATATTGGGTATTGTTGGCCTCAGACGATATCTTTCCAATTCCTGTACCGTAGTCCCGCACGTTTGTGTTACTGTTAGTCCAGTACACGTAGCCGTCATAGTAGGCCAGTCCCTCGATTTGGAGGCGGGCATGGGTGATCAAGATTCGATGATTTTCTCCAGTTATGTCAACCACTTGAATTGTGAATTCCGCATCCCTATACGCATAGAATATGCGCCGACCTGGGATAAGAGAGAGACACAGACAGACAGAGAGAGAGACAGGGATAGAGAGAGAGAGAGAGACAGGGAGATAGAGAGAGAGAGAGAGAGAGAGAGAGAGAAGAAGAAACGAAAAGAAGAAAAAAAGGGGGAGGGGTAGCAAGACAAAAATACAGATCGTAAAAAAGACAGGATTCCTAAATGTTAACATGAATATATCACATTGTTAATGGAGTCATAGCTATCATTGTTATTCCTTTTTGTTACTAAAAGACATGATTTTGTATTATTTCTGCCGTCTTTAATATAAAGATAATCTAATCTAATTTAAATCAAATCTTGCACTTCTTCTTCCAAATGATGGCGATTACAAATCGTTGTTTGCCTTTAGAGCTGTTCATCACAACCATCTAACATCAAATCAAGTCTTATCAAATCAAATCAAGTTTAAATAAATTCAAATCTGTACAAATAAAATCAAAATCTTACATTCCTTATCCCAGGTGATGGTGAGATGTTTGCCTTTAACTGCATGTACGAGCTGTTTGTCAGTACCATTTAGCTCCATATGATAGATACCACCATCCCATGTCGAGGCCAGTAACAACTTTCGTGAGTCGTTGGTCCTGAAAAAGAAAAAAATGAACGCCATTTTGGATTAGAAAGTTATGCAAACCATTGGTAGTCAGAATATCAATATTTAAAGCCTTAATTTGTATTGAGTTAAGTATCAATCATTATTCTACTGTTTAATAAGAGGTTGATCAGATACTCCCCTCCTGATGTTAAAATGTTCTGGTGTACAATGTCCCGATGAGCCGCCCCCTCCTGTCCATCTCTTTTAGGGGCACCCAATCGCCCCTGGCTACGCCAGTGGTTTAAGATAAAAAGACAAGTAATCATCTGACTATTCAATGTCTTACGTTATAACAGCATCCCCAGCCACGATAACATTGTAAACATTTCGTAGGTAGATTCGGTGCGGCTGGCTACCGTTCAAGTTCACACTAGCGATGTAAGACGTCCTCCTGCACGTCACGAATAAACGTCTCACTTCCTCATCGATGGCAAGAGAAGTAACATTAAAACCTGGAAATAAAAATAAACAAATTATGATAACAATGAGACAAAAATAATATCAAGAATAATCATAATGATTTTAATGATAATTACATTGATAGTAATAATAATAAAATTAATAAATTTTGGTATTAATGATAACAATAAACGTAACAATGAATATAATAATGATGATGAATATAATATGTCTATTCATATAGCACAGATACTTTACAAATATTCTCTAATGCGCTTGATTACCTGCTTGATCCTGTCCCCCTGTAAACCGACGCAAAAACTACCGTAAAATAATCAAAAGAACCATTACACATGAACGCAAGTAGATTGTGAAAAAACAAACTATTAATATAATTCACATTCTTTTCACTTCGCTTCGCTGGGGATATCTTCGTTTTACCACCCCCATCGCGTCCGGTTGACCTATCAGTTTCAACAGTATAGCTTCTTACATTCTGATAAGTTGGGCACCGTCCCCGTCTGTGACCCGTTCAAGGTCCTCCACAAGATCTTGCCCTCTTTTGGATCGTACGCTACGCCACTCGGGTCTATGGTGCCCACTTCCACACCCTCAGACGAACCGTAGAAGATCTTGCCCTCTATTGGATCGTACGCTACGCCCCTCGGGCCTACGGAGTCCGTGTTCAGATCCTCAGATGATTGAGGGGAGGAGAGGCTGAGGACATGAATGTTCGTGATGTTGTCTGTAACCAGGAAGACGGGCGGAAGAGGCAGGTTGGGGAATTGGTTGACGTCAGAGTCCTGCTTATCTTCTGTGACAAGCAAATGGAAGAATGAAACGTTGATCTGATAACAAGAGCTCAAGTGCTGATCCCCCTAATACGTCTAAAATCACCCCCCCCCCCCCCGTTTAAAAGGGAGGGGGGTGTTATTCAAGTCAACACCCAATAAATTAATTACTTTTTAGACTGTCAGAAGTATTCGGTAACCAGACCCCTTTCAAAAAAAATCTTGGAGCCGCCCCTGTAGCTGCCCATCAATGGGAGGCATCGATTTGCAAGACATTCCAATATAAACAAGGCTAAGTTTGGTATCAAGATCTATCTGACGTTTAAATATTACTCCAAATCAGGGGTGTCGACTCCAAGTGCAGCCCCCATCCATTCCCCCCCCCCCCCCCGCCAATTCCGAAGATGGATAGACACCTTTTCAACGAAGGATGTTTAAATACAAGCTAAGGTTTTGGAGTTCTAATTGGGTCTAATTCCTAAATGGTCGGGTGAACAAAATGTTGATAACAATTAGCTATTGATATGTGTTTATCAAAACTATGATACCTTTGAGAAGAGTAATGAAGATTAAGGCGGAATCAATCATATCAAGAGAAAGAGAGAGGGGAAGAGAAACTGGAAAACAACTAGAATAGTACAGATGTACAAACATAAATTTGACGAAAGAGAAACAATGGTCAACATTCTCACTTGTTGTCAGAGCGGTTGTTGTGTCTTTCATAGTCGTAGTCGTCGTCGTCATCGTAGTTGTTGGAACGATCCGAGGAACGATGTCCGTGGTTGTAGGGTTAGCTCGAGCAAGGCAATGGAATCCATTGATGGTCTCAACACAATCCTCATCAGACGGGCACGGATTGCTAGAACAATCTAAGTAATGTATGCATAATTGTGTTGAGATTAGGAAGAGTAAAGACCTATAAACAATGTGGAAGAGTTTAAATGTATTTAGTCGTGTCATTTTTTTCTTCCAGTAGCGCTATAAAAAGTCATGAAAATAGATAGAGAGAGAGGGTGTGAAAAGGGAGGCCATAGTCAGCTGCCTAAAAACTCTACGAAGGCGTATTTTGTTTGTTGTTGTGAAAATGATTTTAAAATCTATTACTATCAATATTACACTTTCCACTGTCTTTCCCTTCTAAAAATCCATCGCTCCTCATCCCTCCCCCTCCTGCCCCCCCCCCCTCTCTCTCTCTCTCTCTCTCTCTCTCTCTCTCTCTCTCTCTCTCTCTCTCTCTCTCTCTTTCTCGTTTTGACAGGTGTTACACGGACTTCCCTTGCGACGGATCTGTTTCCAACTTTTTCCTACCTGTGTATTTGCAGTAAGCTTTATGCTCTTGAAGAAGCAGAACAACTGGGAGCAAATCGTCAGGGCAGCTTTTCCAGGAGAGATCATCGCATCTTGGGCTTCCTAACACACCAGCGGCTGGGTTAAAAAATAAGAGGAAGGGATTGATACTCCGTGACGTCGTCAAATATACCTTGAATAGGGGGGGGGGGGGGGGGATATTAAAGTGAATTAGACCTCTTCATTTACAGGAGGTTTCTGAAAAGGCAGGTGATTTGTCGGGGAGGAGGGGGGGTGGGGGTGATACATTGACCCACTACCGGTGCTGTTAATGGGCGTTGTACAGATAATTTCCCCGACTAACTGAATTTCCAACTTCAAACCTAGACCCAACACAAAACTATACCTAAATCTAACTCTACACCTAAAACTTACCCTATAAAACCCAATCACAACTTAAACCATCACCCTATACTTGTAAAGGCGCAATTGTCGAAGCACTGGTATTATTGTGTGTGTACTTTACATGTTGTTATCATGGTATTTTGAACCACTTTTGTGCACCAAGTCAATATATTTTCATAAATACGTTTAGCCTTTGGCTACGTTTTAATGAAGCACAGTTCAAACACATCTCTTGTCATCTAAATGTTTAAGCGCAACATCAAAGATGTACACAAGGTACTTAATTTTAATTTGAGTATGTAATTGTGATACTTTGGCAAATGTCTGTGATATATAATACTATCAAATAGCGGTATGGACAATATGTAAACATTTCTTCTGATACTCACCCAGGCTTGTGAATATGCAAAATGTCTGGATGAAGTTCTGCCAAGACAAAAAAGAAAAAGGCTATATTCAACACTTTGAAAATGACAGAATCCATCCCTATATAGCCTTTGGAGAATTGTATGATTTGGTCGTATCACAAAGCATAGATATACATTGGCCGGTCTCGGGGGTAGTCGGTCTCGTTGGCTGTTGATCATCTTGACTGCAGTCATAGAAATCTCGCAAACTGAAGGCATAAACAAAATATGATTTTCGATAATATTGTATTACTGCTGAATATAAAATAAAGGTATAGTTGTCTCCCAAAATTAACCATCGAAAGCATGTATTTCTTACCTTTAGCGTCATTTTTCAATTCAGTATTTGAAACGAATTCTCAGATGATGAGAGCTTCCAAATTAAGAAAATTTGAGCTGCTGCACCTGTGAAACCAAAAACCCTAATGCACTGTTACTTCTCCGAGTCTTGATAAAAGTAATTTCACAGTTACCATAGCAACCAATGATTTGCGCTGCTGCTGCTGCACGTTCTTCTCCCAAAGCATGGAGAAGCAACGGTACTTTCTATATTGATCGCTTTTCATAATACTCTAAACAACCTGGAAAGGATAATGATTTTCTGTTAATGCTAGAACAAAAGCCGAAAGGTTTGAGTTTTCAATTGTTTGGTGGAATCTACCAGAAATCAAATTTATACTGTTGCCCGATTTTTTAAAATAAAATCAAGTAGATGACTTTGGATGGAAACCCGACTTATTGTTTATACGTCTTTGTGATAAATGAAATGGAAGGTATTTACAGTTATTAAAAATCAAGGATATCTATTGTTCTATAATGAATGGAATAGCAGAAGAATTAAATACAATAATTAAAAATAATCAATGGCATACAGTGCTCTATAATGAACGAAAAAGAAAGAATGAAGAAAAAGGGCAACAACGAATGAAAATAGTATTTTTTCCTTCGTTGTATGATAAGCTAAACTCTTATAATTATATAAAACAACAACAACAACAGAACAATATCACCATTGTTTCCGTATTTGTTGTTATTCACTGATTCACTGTGAAACTTTTTATTAAAAAAGAATATTCTTTTGGCATCGTTCATGTCCTGTAAGTTAAACAGATCAAGATCGTCATAGACCTACTGCCTATATGGTCTGACTTCGACCTTATGCACATATTTATAATGATGATGATGATGATGATGATGATGATGATGATGGTGATGATGATGATGATGATGATGATGATGGTGATGATGATGGTGATGATGATGATGATGATGGTGATGATGATGATGATGATGGTGATGATGATGATGATGATGGTGATGATGATGGTGATGATGGTGATGATGATGATGACGATGGTGATGATGATGATGATGGTGATGATGATGATGATGATGATGGTGATGATGATGGTGATGGTGATAAAAACGACAACAACAACAACATCAAAACAATGATAGTAATAGTGTTGATGATAATAATGATAATATTAACAATGATAAGATTGCTAATGATAATTATAATAATGATGATGACAATAATTATAATGATAATGATAATGATGATGATAATGATGATGATGTTGATGAAGAAGATGATAATAATGTATATGTATTATGAGCTAACTCTTACAGCAATACAATGAATATATTGAAACAACAATACCCTAGATCTAACGGTGCAAAATGCGTCAAGTGGAAAATCTAGATAAGTAAAATGAGCTTAATGCCATTAAATGAATTCGTACTACATACTAAATGATTTACAGCTGTATGACTTCTTCACTCCACCATACCAACTCTACTTACAGTATGTTATATAATGCTATATAAAACAAAACCTTTTGTCGTTATAAAAAGGAAAGTTTGATTCCATCCGTCATTCATTTTTAGATAAAAAAACAGCCAGAATTTGTTTTTGCCTTCCTCTCCACTTGACGTAGGGGGCGCCATATCTTCTATATAAAGGGACGCTAATGCTATCCAGAGCGATCTAAACACAGAGTTTGGCCAACCCAGTTCGATGGTATAGATGGATCTGATGCTATCCAAGACATGGTTTAGAACTTGTGACATACGACTTAATGCAACAATTCTATTGAGAAAAAATAAATAAATGGAAGACGTAATCAAATTATTTAAAGTGACAATTACCTAACAAATATAATGTAATGCGACAATTAGCAGGTTTTCAGTTGATAATTAAATTATCTACTTATTCATTTTCCATGACTGGTTACAACAGCGCTATAGAGATAACCAAAATAAAAGCTTTTTAATAAATGAAAGTTAATAAAGAGGATTTTTTTTTCCTTTCTCGGGACCTAGTGACGAGGTATTAAATCGTTATTAAATAATGAACCACAATGCTTGGAATCCAGTTTTGCATACATTACTTGTTGCTATGTCAGGCAAGCTTTTGGGTTGACAAGAACAGCCTTTCTTAAAACATTATGCATAATATTTGAATATGTTAGTAAACCGGTCTTTTCTTCTGCACTTTAGAAGCTTCAACATGTTTTGTGTGCGTTATTCTCTGATATGTCAGGAAACCCTCGTGCAAGCTATAAGTTTGTACATACATTAATGTTTACCTAATTACCAAATGGATTACCGGTACATTATATACCTCATTCTCTGATTAACAATGGCTTATTGAAAAGACCCTGCCGTTGTGAAAGCAAACTTGCTTTATATGCAAATTAATCGATGAATATTCATTTACAGTTCACATGATCGATTCATAGGATTTTCGCTTGTAAAATAGCAATTTATTGTCTCTACCTACTATGAATCATATAACACAGCAAATTAATGTCTAAATGTCTCCATTTAACAATTAGTATTGATTTTAAACTACAATATTAAACTTTGTATCAATTTTGATTTGAAAAAGAAATAATATCACTATCTAATAAAACATTAACCGCTTTTAAATAATACCTATTTATATAGAAATAAAACTGACGCCTTATATTATCAGAGTTAATCTATTTGTTTTCTTTTAACATTCTCCAGCAGGACCTACTATTGAAGTCAATAGCAAGGTCCAAAAATACAACAAAGTCAGAACCATTTTCATAAGGAAATATTTACATGTATCATCACGTATTTCCATATAGTGGTAAAATATTAGTGGTAAAAAAAACACATAGATAGGAGAATGCCAATCGCTAGATAACGCACGCACACACGTTGTAGTAACTTGCCCAGATGTGTGTGTATGCGTGTAATTAGGCTTTTACAGACGTACGTGTATCAATCAGATATCATATTTTACCTTTGGGGACCGAAAGACGTGACTCGGTTTCGAACCTGTATACGCGTATACGCCTGAGCCAGCTTGTAGACGGAGACAGGTACCGCTAGACCAAATCACATTCGTTGTTGTTGTTGTTTTAGTTTTAAGGGCGTGTGTCATTCAATTATGAATATTTACGCCGAAAAGTTGATTGTATAGCCTTTATCAAGACGTTTCTTATTTCCTATTGTCTTCTCTTTTGCCGCTCGTTTACACTGTTATAAAGGTTCATTAGTGTGGCATAATCCACTCTTGATTTAAAATTACGTCCCAAAAGAGACTGGATTGAACTCAACACCAGAAAGATGCAATCAGATATGGCAACGGAAGGGAAATGTGTTACTGGAGTGCATTGGGAAAGGGTCCAGACCTAGCTGCCGCCACAGTGGGGGGGGGGGGGGGGGGGGGGGGGGGGGGCAACCGCTGCGATATTTGGTAGGAATATCAAGAATCGTAAAAATAACCATTCTGCTTTATTATTTGTTCTTATTCAATATCAATATTTTCAATTTATAATATAATAATAATATCGAAAAGTTAAGAGCTCTGGAAACAATAATAGTATACCATAGCGCTAACAAATACAATTATGAATATATACAGTACAGGAAGTATATCACATAGATCATTGGGGGAAAATTTGAGTTTTGAGGGATCTTTTGAAGGAGGCAAGACAGGTTATTTCCCTTATGGAATGAGGGGTGCTGTTCCATGTCTTTGATGCAGCTACTGCAAAACGTTTTCGAGCTGCTGAGAGTCTAGATTTGGGAATGATAAGTTTACATGTGTCGGTTGCTGAACGAAGATTACGAGTAAAAATAAAATGTATATAATATTTAAAAATCAAACTCCATAAAAATTTGCTTCAAAACAGTGTACGAGAAATCAATAAAATACGCAAAAATATGTTAAAACTTGACAAGGAAGTATTCACGAGGCCTTTAAGGTGTAAGTACAAAAGACAGTGTTTTATCCCGATGTATCAACCACAATTATCAGAAATTATTTAAAATCATTAACGTTGGAGTCCGTTTTATGTCAATTATAAGAATGTCCTCATTTGACCCGAATTTTGATGTCTTTGATTATTTCCATCATAGAACTGTTTCTCTTTTAAGAGCCTCGTTTATGTGAAAGATTTACTGACCGTACCCCTCACCTTCCCCATTTTGGCCTTTGTCCTCTTTTTTTTAATAAGGAGGGGGGAGGGGGCAGTGAGCATGGTTCGGAGATTTACTCCGTCGATAGTAAAGCTCATTCTCATCATCTCACCTCAAATCCAATTCAGCACTAAGTCCCTCTTAGTAATCCATATCCGTTTTCCAATCCTAATTTCCTCGCCATATTCCTCCTTAGCGTATGAGTTCAGCCATAAACTTTTCGATCGTCTAATTAAAATACGCGTTCTCGGAGTTTGATGTAAACGAACTCTCAAGAAAGACCTGTGATATCACAAAGGCTTCTTTAACCCCCCCCCCCCCTCCCCACCTCCTCTCCTCTTATTCATAAGTAAATGGCTTTTTTAAAAACAAATATTAACGATTTATAGTTCCAGGATTGATCCTCATATCCGTAATCTGTTTAATGCCAATTATAAGAATTCCTCATTTTGACCAAAATGTCTATGTCTTTTATGTCTTTGATTATTTCTATCATATAACACTGTCTCTCAAGTCTCAGGTGCATCCGTCCTTATTCCCCTCTCTCTATATTGGGGAACGGGGGGGGGGGGGGGCAGTGAGCATGGTTTGGATAACTTAGGGGATAGGAGATTTGCTCCATCGACATCGAAGCCCATTCCAATCCAATTTAGCAACAAGTCCTTCTTAGAAATCCATGTCCGTCTTCTAACCCTCATTTCCTCATTAAATTCCCACTAAACTCGTTACGGGTCATTCAATCATGATCATTTTGTACTCGTAGAGTTCAGCCATACATTTATCGATCGCCTAAATACGCGTTCTCGGACTTTGACGTAAACGAACTCCGTCACATCACAAAGGCTTCTTTATACTCCTCTCAAGCCCTTATTCACAATTCCGTTCCACGCACTGATACCACTGTTATACTGAATCTTCACAACGCCCCCTGGCGGTATGCATCCATCCGAATCTTAGCATTCGACAACACAGAGCACAATGTAAACGCCAACTGTCATGTTCGCTGCATGCATTAGTTTCTGTTGTGGCGTCGCCGTGTGAGAGTGCATAAATTTATATGGTGTACCGGTTTATAACTACAGTGGACGTAACAAGTGTTTTTACTTGTTGAGTGTACGTTTTTTGTTCCCTAATTCCATCTTCCTGTCGCGATGGCTTCGCCTTCTACACCCAGGGGTAGAGGATCTAAAAAAATGGGTCCCATCAGCGAGTCCGGATTATATTACATCGAGTCTCAGGAGGATCTAGACACTTATTTTCAGCAAATGAAAGTCTCCTCGGACGAACCGAGCTCGCCATCTTCATCTTCAATGTCTACATCTTCTTCGTCTTTTACAGACCACCTCTGCCGTGGTTTTCCGATGCAGTTGCACGTACCAGAGGCGTTCGCTGCCCATGAAAAGAAGCCGAAAAATATGACAATCAACACCAACAACAGCCGTGAGAATAATAACGAATATCAGTCTCAGATGCAATTTCATGTGAACGAGAATTTGAAATCGCCCACAAAGACGCAAGAGGATGAGAACAGAACTTTGAGGTTTGTGGGTCGCCGAGGGCTGGCGAGTGGCGATGGTGTGGATATCAAGAGCGTGAAGGGTACAGTGAGAGGTGTCAAAAACAGGGTCAGGGCTGGCATAGCCAATTTCGAGTTTAAACCACTGGATAATAAAAAGGTTTGTATAATATTAGTATTTTGTCAAATGAATTTTAAAACTGTATTTTGTGTTTCCTGTCATACATAATATGGTGATGTATCTATGAATACAATATATTCCATTCTTCATAATTCCTTTTTTTTTCTTCAAACAAATGGTGAAGTAATTCAAAGAGAATACAAAATATAAATACATGATTGTACAGGTGTTTATGAAAATGTGCCTAGAGTGTTTGAGTGTAATTTGGGTTTTTACAGACGTGTTCAGTATCAATCATAATCGTGACTCGGTTTTGAACCGGGGTCCGTCTGAGTCGGTTTGTAGCCAAAGACGGAGAGCTGACCAAGTGAACATAATACCAGACTGACTCAGATCTCCCTATATAAGCACATTTTGCTGTAATTCCATATATAGGCTTACACCTTCATATCTTATAGATCATGAAAATATATTATGTATTATAATTTATATATTATTATAAAAAATAAATATCAATAGATATAAATATGATGTTTCATAAGATATGAATATTATAAACACTAAAATATAATAGATTCATGTTATTAATAAAACATATATCAGTATAGTGACATATAAATTAAAGCAGAGGATCTTAATGATCTTCTATCCAAGTATATCATATAGGCCCTACTTTTATCAGTCAGTTTTTAAAACTTCAGATGTATACAAAATGTTTGTACAATGAAGAAGGGATGGTACAGTATGTATCACCCAATTTCAAGAGCAAATCTGTAACCCCAAAGGATTATCTAAATTAGTAAATTGAAGCAGGGGGGGGGGTAGCAAATGGGTTTTGTGTGTGTGGAGAGATCTTCTTTAAAAGGTACACATGTACTTGAGGGGGGGGGGGGGGGCTTATTCCACCAGCATCCTATGAATTATTGGAGTAGGAAAGTGACCGGAGTGACAATTCAATAATCCTGATGTATGCTGACCTACTTTTTTGTTGTTGATTGATTGACGATGATAATTATGGCTCACATCAACTTGAAGAAGGTTACATATCCCATAATTAAACAGATAAAAGGGATATCATGGTTTGTTTCTATGTTATTCAGGAGGCTGTACAAAGTGAGGTTTAACTTTGACATACCGGTAGGTTATGAACATGAAGATTTTCATGACATTGTCCAATGTCCATAATTTCAAAATTAGTGGAAAATGTTTATAATTGGTATTGCTTTTAAAAAGTAGTTCATTCCTTAACAGTTGTATTGACTGAATGATTCTTATTTTCATAAAAATTATGACACCCACCCCCCCCCCCCCCCCCCTCCCCCCAAAAAAACAAATCCTGGGAGCATGCAAATGCAAAAGGAAAGAAGGTTAATTTTTTTTAAATAGTATCTCTTAAAAGGACATCAAATATAGATAGAGGCATCCTTTAAAACAAGGTTAAAAAGAAGGTATTTATGGACTAAAGGCAGAAGATTAACTTTGTCTATGTACCCAGTTAAGTTAATATGAGGTCAATATGTGGAAAGTGATGTGTCACACCCATATGCACATGAAGAGTCACTGAGTAAAGAGAGAGAGAGATGTAGAATAAGGGAGGGTATAACCTTTATGTCACAACCAGTAAACCCTCTAAAAGTATATGAGGGAAGGAGAGAAGATGGTTGGATGAGGGAGAGAGATAGAAGAGATGAAGAGAGCGAGAGAAAGATGGAAGGGTGGGAAAACAGAGATATAGAGCAAAGGGAAAAGGGTGAGAAAGAGAAAGAGAGAGTAGAAAAGGGAGATAGAGTGGGAGAGCGAGGGTAAGGAATTAGGATAAACATGGATCTATTTGGGTGGTAAACATTTGGGTTAGTTGGATTAGGGTGTTCTGTGGTTATGATGGGTGATTCAGCCTGGTTGGCATGGCAGTTGAAACAGTAGTCATGGTCGGGAGCCATTAATAAGCCTTCAACTTTGAATGTTTCAACCCCTTTTCCATCATTTAATGACATGAATCTAGACTTTGCTTAACAAGTTTTCAAAGAGTATTTTAAATGGTGTTTTTGTTGTTGATTGATTAAGTTTATTTGCTAATTACACTTACATTATGAATTTAAAAAAGAAAGAGAAAAAATATATATACCTTGACAAGGTAAGATATGAAAGGTGATTATCAGCTTATTACCATTGGGGTTCTATCATTTAAAAAAGAAAAGAATGGAAATAGGCATGGGCGTTTTAAATCCCAATTTTACATAATTATTCAAGTGAAAGAGTTAAAGACACCATTACATGTATGAACTTAATACACAGCAACCAATATTTAGCTTCCTCATAGCTTCCTAAAAGAAGTAAACTAATCCTTTGATGCCTTTCTTTCTCTTAGCATTTAATATTGGCTGTAAAATATTATAGTAATATTTTATTAAGACTTTTAGAGAACCCATTATCCACACTTATAATCTAATATATGCAAGAAGGGTTTCAGAAATGTAAGCTTTTTGGCTTTATCCTGAATTGAGGTTAGATGTTTAATGGGAATGTGAATTTAGTAGATGTAACCACTCCTTTATTATATATTTAGATATTTGAGCTTTGTCCTTATTTAAGTTCATACACTTTAATGACAACCTTACAAATATTTTGATGGTTCTAAAGTTGGATCAATCTTTGTTTATGTAACTCCTAGATTACTTAAGTTTCCTTCTTTGTAAGATTTCAATCCTGAGTGCAGACAGTGTAATGGGACCATTCTAATTCTTTGATGGTTTAGACCATGGACCTACTTATTCCAAATAGTCTGGATTGTCTTATCAGCCTATGATAAAGGTTCATTATCATTAGCCCCATAAAACATGACTGTGTTACTTTACTTGGCCATAATATTGACATTGTAATGCAGGGAATCCTCAAATATTTTAATAGCTAGGCAGGTCTAGGTTAGGGATGAAAGATCAATCCCCCACCTTAAATTCTGAATGACAATGACAATGACAATGATTTTTATTTCTTTAACGGTCCCTTCTTGGGCATGTAAGAAATGCATAAAAACGGTGAATAGGATCACGTAATGATATTATATATGCAATAAATATCATGTTACATAAACATGTACAGTGTATGCAATAAATATCATATTCCTTACATTTTGTATACATGTACATGTATAATTTTATGATAAGCAATAAATATCATGTTGCCTATATAGTGTACATGTATTTGTTTTGAAATAAATATCATGCAACACTATATACAGTATACCATCAAACCTGTATATAAAGGCTATCAGGGGTAACACAAAAACTGGCCACTGAAGACAGGTAGCCTTTTTAGACAGGCCGTAGAACACACATTCCCTTCTAGAGGGAGCCAACATGATTGGTGTTTATAGAGAGTTTGCCACTAAGACATGCATAATTTACCCAACACCAAAGAAGAAGATACTTTGGTAAAGCAAAAATTTATAAACCTAACAAAAGTGTTGAGCAATTTCATCATCAATAGTGATCTGTCAGTTTATGACAGGTTCAGTGACCCAATCAGAGTTCTACTTGAAGTGTCTCTCCAAGTACTTCGGTCTTTAGCCATCCGTTTCAGCATTTCATTTCCCTTTGCTCCACATTCTGCAAGTTGAGCAATTTATGACTCTATTATTTCCAATCACAATATGCCAAACACTTCAAATTAAAAAACAACAAAAGTGTTTGGTAAATTAAATTAATATTTAAAAATTATTTTTGTGTTTAGTACTCCAAAAAATAGAATACCGGTATACACTAAACATTCATCATCAGTTAATTAGAATTGTGTAGGGCCTCCAGGGAACATGGGTATATGTGTGTACTTTCTAGTTACAGATCAAATTTTTGAATTTTTGTACAAAATGCAAGATGATTAAAAAATATATTCATAAAGACTTCATTCAGATGATAGAATTTAGCCGTACACACCAGGTGTGCAAAAGTATGCAACTAATTAAGTTACAGAAAATGTTAACATTGGCATTATATGGCAGCAATCCAGCATACATAGGGGTGCCATGTTTTCCGTGTACTGAGTGTAGCCTATCTATATATGTGAATAAAAAGGCAGCGGCATCCAATATAAGTCACCATTAATTGGCGAGAACGTCAGGGCTGTACCTTCTTTATCCTCCATTCTCTGATCGATAACTCTTTGATTGATCTATGAATTGGAATGGATCAGTAATTGTAATGTATGCCCCCTTCCCTATTACTTATTCATGGGAGTTATACCTGGACGGAAGAGTTTCGGTTGCATGTACATGTAGGCCTATACAGCTATATGCTATAGTTATATTATTTGCAGTGCTAGTATATTTATGTTACTCATTTTTGGAAGTGATATAGTGGGTCTCCACAGTGACGTAATTATTATTTTTAAACTTTTTTTCTCTTTTAATTTTCATTTATTTATTTATTGTTCTAACTTATTATCTTTTATTCTTAATTATTATTATTATTTTTTTTATTTTTATTTTTTTAAATTTTTTTTGGGGGGTCATGTTTATTAGATTATGCATGATGTCTGTTAATGTAATAAAACATTATAATAGAGTTGGATTTATGCAAAGTATTGCTAATAATAATAATAATAATAATTTGTTCTTTTATAGCGCATTTCATGTCTGTTGACATTTCAATGCGCTTTACAATTTTACAATATATATACATAATTATTTAAAGTACAACACGATCATAAAAGGAAGATGAAACAAAACCATATATAGAAAACAACAAAGTGCTTACAAAAAGAAAAATTATAACATTACTTATCCTTAAATACTATTGATGTGCTAATTTGAAAAGATGAGTTTTTAGTTCAGATATGAATGTTTCAATATTGGATATACAGCGTAATGAAATGAAAATGTTTGAAATACTTTCAAGGTACAGGCATCAAATAGATTTTTTTTTTGTGGGGAGACATGTCTCATTTTATAAAAAGGGTATAAGCGTGCAAAGTGTATTTGCATTTCAAGCCCGCATAACTCAGGATCTGTTTGCGCAGAATAATGGATTTTGAAAACCTATTCAAACAAGCCTTGACGTGAGCGTAAAAGGAATTATCTGCTTTCATCTTTCTGTCAATGTCAACCTTTGTGTTGAAATCTTTACGTTCCAGCTCAAATCTAAATCATATTCATGAAAAGATATTGATGAAAAGCATTGAAGGTTGTGATTCAAGGGGATAGCATTTGAAGTTATTGTGATGTCACCAATTCTTTTCCAGTCCATTTTGTACAGGTTCAAACAACAGATGATAACACACACCTTTATTCCTAAATTGATGTTACATACATGTGCAATTTTTGTAGTTTTAAGCTATGATTTGAATATTTTTATAATGCGGGCATAATGATCAAGGCTGTCACTCATAGACCAGTGTTTTACATAATTTTTAGTTTCTCTGATCTGTAATATATACAGCTGTCATTAAAAACTATAATAATTATAATACTTTGTCAATATTTCTCATGGCTTCTACATTTCTACCTGTATTTAGCCACAACTGAATGCATCTATACATGAAAAAAAAAATCAATTTATTCATTTTAATGTTACTTTACTATTATAAAGTGAATATTACTTTGATATTAATTATTCATGTTCATTGAATCAATTAATGATTGATGTACCATTTCTGCAGTCTCCTATAATTCATTTTCATCAGTCACAATAATTTTACTTAATTCATTTAAATTTAATTTCTTTTTTTCAGAAAACGGCAGTAGTTAACTCTGCAGATGAGGTCGGTAGGATAATCATCTACACGACCAGTGTAAGGATCATCCGACAGACTTTCGAAGACTGCCAGTACGTCCGCAAAGTCTTCCAGAACCACAGGGTGCGGTTCGAGGAGCGGGATCTCTTCATGAACGCAAAACATCAACATGAGCTGGAGGAGAGACTAGGCACCACGGCAGATATCAACCTGCCTATCTGTTTTATAGATGGAGAGTTAGTTGGGGTGAGTGTTGAGATCTTTATGCTTGGGGATTGACAATTGTGTTTTTGTTTGTTTCTTCTTTCTTTGTTTACTTTCTTTTTCTTTCTTTTTTCTTTCAATATTTCTGCTAAGAGCCAGAAAGGCATTCTCACATATCATTCATCATTATGCTAAATTACTAATGCCCTTATGGCTCTCAACAGATAGGGGTTTAAATACATAATCATATATCTTTTTATAAATCATACACATGTAAATCTTTAAACACACATGATTAAAGGAGGAACAAAATTGGGTTTTTATAAATGGGCCATCTTGTTCTTATACTATAGATAGATTGAATTTTTATCTTATGGATCAGTTTACTGGACCAGTCGACTACGGTAAATATGTGATTGACTATTAAGTAGGTTTTTTGTGACAAATGAACCCAAGATGCATGTACCTTTGTTGGTGTGCTTTAAGATGGTGTAATCCCACACCAAAGTTATCGTGTAATCTTTAGATATTAGCCTTGATAAAAGATTAAATCCATTCCTTTGACAAATGTCCTCAAAAGATGTTTGTTAAAAGAAGGGCACTGTGTACACAAACCGAAAGGTATCCATGAATGATCATCCTTTAATACCTACATCGCAGACATAAATACATCTTTTTATGAGAAGCTAATTAATTCAATGTCCATACATGCATGAAGCTATTGTTCAAAGCTCCTTTGCCTTTCAGCAGATGGTATCATGTTATTTTGAGCAAGAAATGAGGAAAAGAGAGCCAACACAGATTATAAACTGCATTTATTGTAAGTGTAATTCTACTAGTATCAGAAACAAGTCTGAAATAAGTTTCAACAAAGTAGGTTTGTCTTTATTGTGAGCGACAATATTTCTGTTACCTAATACATGTACATGTACATGTATATTACTTCCTTAATGTATTATGCATAGTCCTGTCACTGTTTTCAGACCTTTGTTTGCTTTCTGATGCAGCCACACAGTCGTCTTTTGTTCCGTCTGTTTGCACATGGTTTGCACTGGTGAAAAGAGAAGGTGCGGAGTTTAGTCTATTCTTGTCTCCCTTAGAACAAACTATCTCTCGTTTACGAAGTAGGCTAAGCAAGGCCACAGTAATGACTGTTTGACTGAGAACGTGGCAAAATTTGAAATATTCTTTTGAATTGGAAGAAAAGGGTATGGTCTATTGACAAATAGCAAAGTAAATGAACCTGTAAATCAAGAGAATGGCGGTATGTGTTCGTGAGTCGTGACAAATAGTTTTCTAAATCCATTTGGGATGAATTATATTCATTTTAGCAGAGAATATTTGATTATTAACAGCATGTATTTATTATCAACATTCGTACTCATATTTGGATACTAGCCTTTTCAAATAATTTTTCATGCAAAATGGCACAACATGTGTTAGTAAATCTATGGTAGAGGCAGATAAGAAGATTTGTAACAAAATACTTCTTTATTTGTGCTGAGGATATATGAATTAGAAAAGGATTTATTTGTCAATAAAATTCTTTTGCATGAAACATGAACGTCAAATATATGTTGGTTTGAATATCTTTCCATATCATTATGTAAATATGTATTATGGAATCTCAAGAAATGTATCATGTTTTGTTCCAAGAACCATTGTATGAATTACATGATATACCTATTGTTTATATTTTGAAGGAAAGAAGTATTTCAAACTTGAGCTGAGATAACATGCACTTGCATTGCTGTCATGATGAAAGTAGATTAGAGAAAAGGGAAGAGTGAGTTTACGATGTAATTTATAAAAAATAAAAAAAGTTATCATTTAATATTTACAATAAAAATAACAATGGAAAATCCTTAGTTCTCACAATTTCAATTATTATATTATTCATTTACAATGCTAAAGGATGATAACTTATAATAAATTTAATGGAATTTAAAAAACAGAATTTTACCCTGGTCGACGAGAGCTACATGTACATGTCCAGTATAATAAAATTCATTAGACTGCCAGTCCAACACACAACACATTCATATCTTGCAAAGCAGAGCTTAATTGATTTTTACACTGGATAATTCGCACGTTGGAAGCTTTGCTGAAGCTGTATTGTTGTCATGGCAACAACACTTAACTGCCTGCAAGGCGTGATAATGAATATTTATTGACAAATTATGTGATCTCTGATGAGATGCGGTCATAAACAGAGCTAGATAATTATACAAACAATATTGGTAAATTGGTTACAAATATATGTACATGTAGTCATGTACCTGTATTTTATTTTGAATTTATCATGCATGTTTTATGACAATTTAGGTTTTTTGTCACTGTAGGAAGCTAGTATTTTAATAGATTTGCACAATGTTTAATCAATATAGGGTTTGAAATATTGTTTTATGTCTTCAAATAGCCAAAGTTATATAAAATTCATCGTAATTTTGATGTAAATTTATACCTATAATGCAGTATTTCCCATTCAAAACATACTTTTAAAGTCACATGTACATGTACAGTATATACAATGTAGTGAAGTTAAATTGAAATTACATACCCGGTACATGTATATCATACACAATTCCTTTTCTGCTTTAGAAACTCTTTAAAGAATTACAAGTACACAATCATATCCCAGATACTCATTTAATGTCTCTCTTTACGTTTACTACTCCTTTACCTCAGTTAGGCCTACAGGAAAAACAATTTATTTACACATTTTAGTAGGCCTGCATATGCAATATTCCATACAAGTGTTAAATGGAATGTGTAAAATGACTTTGACACTCCAATACAGCACAGCGTGTGTTCTGTCTATTGAAATGGTAGTTCAAGGTTATTCAATACGTGATGCCGATGCAGGGGCAGAATTTTTGTATCTCCATTTATGTAACCTTCAAATCTTTAATTAGACTGGTAGCAGGATCTGTTGAGTAAAATGATTGCTTTTTTAACCATTTCATTTATTATGCCGAGTTACATCTGATTTTGGGGTAATAATTAAGTCTTTAAATATTTGATTATATCTGTCATCAGTGCTTATTGTATGTCTTCTATAACAGTTCAGTGTGCTTTTTAGACATCCATCAACAGTATAATATTTGGTACAATACACCTGTAGATTGTCCTTAGCTATGTTATTATTATGCTATTAGACAAAATAATAATTTCTTTTTATTACATGCAGTAACCTTTGAGAAAGTACAACAATGAGATCTAAATTTGCATTTTTATATTTCGTAAGATCATTTCTCTTTTTCTACCTCTCTCTCTTTCTACCTCCCTCTATCTCTCTCTCTCTCTCTCTCTCTCTCTCTCTTTCTACCTCTCTCTCTCTTTCTAGCTCTCTCTCTCTCTCTCTCTCTCTCTCTCTCTATCTCTCTCTCTCCCTCCCTCCCTCCCTCCCTCCTCTCTCTCCCTCCATCCTCTCTCTCCCTCCATCCTCTCTCTCTTCCAAGACATCTTGACATTTACATGTGATTATTTTATTTACATTGCCCGCTAAACTAAACTCTTTTATATTTTGTATTCTTTCCATTTCTAGGATCTGAGGAAACTGGAAGAACTCAACGAAAGCGGAGAATTGAGAAGAATTCTAAAAAGATTTGAGGTAAGAATGCTCTCCAACCAAACATCACATCCAGCAGACGAAAACGATAGAAACAAAACCTTTTTTTTTCAGGAAATTAAAGAAATCCCAGTACATTTATTTCCCTAGAATTTGGCACCTGTTTTATCGTTGAAATGGACGAATGGAAAAGTCTGCTGAGAGCCAGAGGGATGCTAATTAATACATAGCACCTTTCATAGAGTTATCGCCTTTCTGGCTCTCAGCACTTGTGGACTGGTAGGATTATATCGTCTGTTTGGAGCCAGGAGGGTGTTTAGCCATCTACATGTACTTTAACACAGGGTTAACACCCTTCTGGATTCCGGCAAGCGATATGAAGACTATGACATGGGAAGAAAATCATAAAACTCTGAAAAAAATACAAAAAGAGAGAGAAATTCCAAACTATTTTTTGTATGTTAAAGTTTAAACCCATCAAAGTAAAATGACATATTTTTCCAAAACATGGCATAAAATGACAGGACTACAAATTAGTTATACCATCCTTCACTGTGGATAATTTGTTTTTTCTTTTCAAGAAAGGTATTCAAGCTTGATGGCAGGTAGTAAAATTACAATTAAAAATGCAACTTTGGCATTCCAACTTTTATAGTCATTTATCTTCATTTTCTGTTTTGGATGAAAGAAGGAATTCACCTGTGAAATTGCCTGTTTGGATAAGTGTTGACAGTAGTATACAATAAAAATAACACTGGGAATAGCAGGTCTGTCTTTGTATATAAAACAAAAAGAAAAATGCAAGGGCAAATTTTAGTCACAATTTGTAAGAAATGATTTTGTTCACTGGTTTTGATGAAAGAAACAGGAATGACTCGATTGTCAAATTATGTCAATTTTATTAAATTCCATTTATAGAAATTCTTGAAAAGAAAAGGAAGTGGGAGAAAGATGTGAGATATGTATTAAAGGATAAACTTGTAGAAGAATAAAGCAAAAATGAGAAGCAGATCGATGATGAAATAAATAGTACGAAAGCTCATCATTAGTGATGTGGCTGTGAACAACTTATGCTGTAAGAAGGATAAATGAGATAAAGATCAAGCTAGCACAGAAAAGGGAAAGGTGATTTGGTCAAGTCAGAAACAGAAAAGTAAGTTTAAAATGAAAGAACATAACTGAGGATATGTGCTAAAGAAGAGAGTCCTATTTGTTTGCCCATTATTTTTTACAAAGTATCCTATAGTCGATAAGGCTTTTTGCTATACTGTTATAATGCCAGCTAATTTGAAAGCATGGTCAATAACAACCGATATTGATTTGAGGTTTGGGGCGAAATTCCAAGCATCTATATCACCTCATCATTCCCACAAATCCAATCATTATGTTGCCTACTGTATAAGTTCAGGTTTTTTTTTATGATGGTGATATAGTAAAGTAACTTCAAGATAATAATGACCTGTTTTGCATCATCTTCCCATGTTTTGGTATACTGTACCTGCTCCCTTCAAAGGAATTGCCAAAAGACCTAGTTGTAAGAGAGACAATTGATAATAGTCGATGCAAGTCATCTAGCTCAGTACTTAACCACTCATGCATACTCTGTACATAGATGTACTTTCTTTATGGGCCTATACAACACAGACCCCCCTCTCTTATAGGTGGTTGTTATTGTGTTCCATGAAGTCTTTGTTCCGTTCCTGGACCATCGATCAATACCTAACTCGGTCAAAGCATCACTGCTAATTTACAATGCAAATGACCCCCTCAAAGTTTGGACGGAATGTGTCACTGCATGTTTGTGGCTGAAGACGGATACACAATGTACAAGTGGATTTTTGTCAATGTTATGATGCAGGAACTACTTGTTACATCGGCTTTGGGGTTTAACAACTTTTTGTTTTGTTAGAAGAATCAATGTCTTACATTTTAGCTCTACTATGTCAAGTGTCTTACACTTGCTTATACCAACAAACATACACATGCAGGTCCATGGTATGATAAACAGTAAACGCAGAGGAATACAAGTTGACCCACACACCACACAATGATTATAGATTAACTCTTTTTGTGAAAACTATATATCAAACCACCCTCCAAATTTTTGTAACTCAATTTTGTTTCTTTCTTTATTATTTTCTGCAGGAAAATGTTGATGTCATTATTTTTCTATGTGTCTATCTCTGTATCTTTCTTAAGCCCTCATTTACTATATCTCTCTGTCCTTGGTTGTTTCTGCTTCTACCCTCTTAATTGCTCTCTCTCTCTCTCTCTCTTTCTCTCCATATGTTTCAGTATATCGATTAGTGCCAGGTGTGTCACTTGCAACCCCTCTGTATGTCTTTCTGGCCCTTTTGTTTCTCCCCTCTCTCCTTCCCCCTCTCTCTTTCCCCCTCTCTCTATCCCCTCTCTATTCCCTCTCTCTCCTTCTATCTTCCAACCTCCAATCTGTTTTTCTTTTGTCTATTTTATTTTTCATTATATCTCTTAGTTTCATAATAATCTGGGACATGAACAAATATTACATTATCTTATAAAGACACCATGCAAACAAACAAGGGGGTAACTGCTTTGTTAACCTTGCAAATTCAAATAAAATTTGTTTAATTCTTTGTACAGATTTTGTTTCCTAATTGAATTCATATCTATTCTCCACAACCTAATGAACCGGGATGTGCCCGCATATCTTTCTTAACATGTCTTTTGTTATCAAGTTTCTTGCATGACGTGTGTTCTTTATCAATGACTTAGCTAGGATAAGCTTTGTGCACTTCAAGGCTGAGTTAGAATTCATTCATTTGTATCGCATAGAATAGATAAGGAAGTAGGTGCACATGAATGTGCACATCCAGTCAATTGAGTACTGTAATCCAGACGTTCATGGTCGCATGCATGAAAAGTTCGTGAATTTCAGAAGTGGTTCATTTTTTCTGCTACTTAGGGATTCAACTGCAATAATATTGACTCAACACTGAATTTAAGTTGTGATTTATAAGAGTTTCTTGCCATGGGAATGGTTGTCGTTTACAATTCATGACATTTCTGCTTTCACAATGAGTATGTGTGTGACACCACTGAGATCTAAACATAGATATCCTCTGATGTGCCAAGACACCCATTGTATTAGAAACACAATCAGAAAGACATTCAAGAAATAACTCAAGTCTCAAGGGCACTTTTAATACCATATCCCATAGAGATCATGAGCTGATTACATCATGTTCTGTTCACATGTTTCAAAAGGTGATGGATCGACAAGGCTAAATTAAAAAAAAATCTAGGTTGATTCCTTTGAAGTCTTTGCATTCATACTTTCCAGATATTATCCTATTAAAGACAACAATATATCCTATTCTTGTATCATTCAGAAATACCTGCACTTTATTAGTTTGTCTGGGAATTACCTTTGTTAGCCTATTAGCCTTTGTTACTCCCACCACATTATGAATAGAACATGATTCTTTTAATATTTTTTGTACCAAATGTGGAAATAAACTTGAATACCTTGATTTAAAGAAAATTTACGAACTGTCTTCATGTACATGTGATTGTTATCTTGGAAAAATATGAATGTGATTTGGACCAAACATCAGTATAAGATATGAAACAATGTCCATCCCTATATATTTATATGCAATTAATACCTTTAGATTAATTCTGACAGTTTAATACTTTCAAAAGATTTCTGGTGCCAAAATACACTTATCTCATAGAGCTTTTACATACATGTAGATTGTTTCCATTTTAAGCGGATGACAAAATTATTTGCATATTATTGACATTAGTTAAAGGGGTCTAATTTAACAACTGAAGTGAATCCAAGCTCCAAGAGTTCTAAGCAAATAATAAAATATTCTTGCTTGAAATTAATCAATCTGTGTTCCAAAATTTTTACAAGGGATTTGTGCACTGTTCATCCTTTCAAAAGTAGTTATAGTCTCTCATTTAAAAATGTTATTGTCTATGTTATAGTTATCCCTAATCACCCTTTTCTTTATTTTTTTTCTTGTTTTTATGTTTTACAGAAGCACAATCCTATGATCAGCTGCAATGGGTGCGGCGGTCATCGCTACATACCCTGTACATTTTGCAACGGTAGCAAGAAGTCGTTATTACGTAACAACTGGACAGACTCCTTTATAGCGCTCAAATGCTCGTACTGCGATGAGAATGGCCTACAGAAATGCCCCGAGTGTCACAGGCAGTAGTCTATTTTTTTTATACTTCAAATTTATAATTATTAACTGAATTCAATTTTGTGCAAGAATCTATGTGCATATGATTGTAAATAAAAGAGTTTAGTCAGGAGCTTTATCATAGTATCTATTATTGCAAGGAAATGTAGTTATTTTGTATCTAGCCTAAAAAAAACCCCAATAAAGACAAAGACTTGATTGTTATTGTTCAATGACATTGTAATATGTCTTTATTCAATTATGAAATTTGAGATATAATGTCTTGAATAATCTAGGCAAAAACTCAAGTTTGCATATTAAATGTGTAGGTATTAAGGGCAGCCTATTTGTGGAAAGACGCTATTGAAATTTCATATTCAGTTTTGTGCAAGGATTTCTTTACAAATTTACCCTAAGTTACATCTTAAATTGATATGTCAAGAGGAGTTTTTTTTATAGAACATAGCTGAACATTTTCCACTTTAAAGAGCCTATTTATATGCCAAATTTTTAAAATTGTTATTTTTCATATATCTGTTTTGCCTCTGGACTTAAATTTCCAAACCAACACTAGAAAACGATATTTACAGGTAGATAGATATTCATGTAACTTAAGTTGAAAGAATACATGTTATGAGGGTTTCATAATGTTTAGAACCAAAATATAGCACACAAGATTCATCCACCCAAAATGGAAGTCCTTTCTAATTTCTTATTTCTAACTCTTATTTCTGTTGTAAATAGCACATACACTATTTTCTTATTAAGTATTTTGAAATTAAAATATTAAAAAATTGAATATTTTGTATGTTTCTGTGCAGTATATGCAATTCATGTTGTGAACTTGATTGTCGTGCAAAGTGTATTTTTGTTAAACCTGTCATTTTTCTGCAGTTGATTCTATTGTATATTCTGGAAAAATAGATTTAAAAGTATAAACTTATATATATATTTATATATACCATATATTTGTATACTGAAGAGATAATTTGTACCACAAAATTGAAGAATAACGGTGGATAAAGAATACTTACTTTCTGTTGGTATTGTCCAATTTTAACTTTTTGTTCATTCTTGCAGTTTATTCTGACTTGTGCCAGATGAAAGCTTTATTACGTTTTTATTCACTGCTCTTCTTCAATTCTATTTGTATACATCATATTGTTGTAAACCTTTAATTATGTCTCGTCTTTCACTCAGCGCCTTACATGCCTCAGTCATGATCAGTCATTTCTTTTCTTAGAATCTAACTAACACTGATAAATTAGATTCTTGTTTGATATTTCTATTGTAGAGTGTATTCAGCTTGAAATATAGTAATGCTGCTACAATGTCAGATGATAAATTCAGGGGCTCATCTATAAAAAATAGACCTTTTGGCATTTATAATTTTTGATTGAGATTGCATGCAAAGACTGAACAGTCATTATAGGAATACCAGTTGTATATTTTACTGATGTCTCCATGCTTTACCTTTTTCCTTTTGTAAGTGAGTGCCTTACTCCTGATGAGATACAACCAACCATGTCAAGAATATGGAGTTTCTTCAAAAAACTGTAAACAAGTATGGAAAAGCAGATCACAAAATATTTTTCTATTATCCATGCATCACAAAATGAGTTGCATTTAGGTAAAGCTAGGATCTATCGTGAAGTTTTTTTTTTTTTCAAACACTTCATTAGGGATGCCAAGGTTTTGGGTTCAAATCCACATTTTCCACTCTTTCAACCAGTTGTAGGATTCATTCATTAAAATGTACTGTGCCCTAGTCGCTGCAACTAAGGGTGGGGCAATCATTTCCAAAGTTCTTTGGAAGCACATTCAGACACTGTATGAACAAAAGAATAAATATTATGTTGTCATAAAGTTTGCAAAGAGGCCTTGTCCTACATGTATAAAATACCTAATCACTTTGTATCAAATGCCTTGCAATTATACATTGTACATTTGTAATATATAGCATGAAATATCCTATTTAGAATTTCTGAAACGGGACATGTTAATGATACAGGGAAAGGTGCATACTCTTATTTATTTGATGATGTTGTAGATGGAAATAAGAGAATTTTTTTAATGGAACACCTTGCCAAACTTTGATATATATACTTCTTGTAATCACTTGCATGTTACTCAGTATATACTAAGTTTTGCTAAGATATGATGTACATAATTGCTTAATTTTGTAATTAACAGCTATGATTATGTATGCAGATTGTTTGTAAAGATGTTAGAGTTTGCAATGGCATATTATATCTGAGGTGGTTCCAAATATCTACTTTTGAAATGCTGAAGCAAATTTGGACATATATATATATATATATATATATATATCCTGCTGCTTGATTATAATATGTGCCTAACTAAAGGTCGTTAGCAGCAAGCATTATTACAAATACACTACTAGCAACGCCTCTGTTAACGTCATTTTGATAGGCACGAGTTAATTCATTGAATCAAAATCAGCTGAATATTCTTTAACGATTACTCCAAACCGACTCTAAACTGACCCATGTTGAGGGTAATGTGAGGTTAAGTTGGGCCCATTGTCAGCCTTGTGTCAGTTTTTGTTGATTATGACAAAGGACGAGGATTAAGCTTCTTGATAAAACCAAGGTAATACTGATTAGCTTCAGAGTGACTTTGACACTGTTACAAAGTTTCATAGCTTTTGTGCATGGTTAGGTGTTGAGAACTTGTATGGTAAGAACCCTTTGTGCATGAAGTATTTTTTGGATGATATACACTTGAAAACAATAAGAACATGGGGATCAGTGAATAGTGAGAATCACAAGGCTTTGAAAGGATCTTAGCAGATCTCTAAGGCTCTTCTTCCCTTTCAAGGAAACTTTAATATGCTTATAGAGCCGGAAGGACATTTAATCACATCCTCCAACTTGGATTTAATGCTCTTCTGGCTCTCCAAAGAACTGGTATCAACCCTCAAAAACTAATAATAACTCAAAGACACAAGTACCATTTTTAATCCTCAAACATGACTTGTGTACACCTGTATTTGAATGTGAAGTTGTCCACATAGAAGGGCAAGAGTTCTTGAGTCTTGACAACGTTCAAGAGGTGCTTACTTTTCAAGTTCATGTTAAGAATACTTGGACCTACTTGAAGCTATTTCAGTAACAAGATCCATCATCATAGACACTGTTCACATCCTTGTCATACCAGTTAGTCATCAATTACTCGCAAGTAATCCTCCCCTTCTAAATCCCATCTTACATCATTCAAATTCATGTCATGAATGAGTAAGCTATTGCCAACACCCCTCCCCCCTCCCCGTCTCTCAAAGATCCAAAGATCATATTTGCCCTGTGTCTGTTTTTTCAGAAAATAATATTTTCTGTGTTTTGCATGGAGAAAAAAGAGATTGATTGCATTGTTGGGGATTATGAAACCAAGTTATATCTTTGGAGTTCCTTTTATTCGTTTTCATCCTATTTAAAATCTAGTTTTGAGATCCTCTTGTGTGAAAAGAAACAAATTGTTGGTTTCGTCAGGAACTGATACATTATAAAAATATATTAACAATATTTGCCAAAAGTTTCCCTATATTAACTTGCTTAAGTCTTGGGGTCACAATGTACTTTGATAAGTTATGAAATTTAATTATCAGTTTCTGTTTTGTGATTTCAAAAGAAAATTAAGTCTATCTGGTTTTGAAGGAAGTTTGGTCTCAAAATTGATAAAAAATAGGCATAAAATTCATACCTTAAAAACCCCAGCTTAATTGTATCTGCATATTGATGTTGCATGAAGAAGGTGTTTCTTGTTTTCTAGCAATTTACTTTGACGAGAGCAGGTTTATCTGCTGAAAGAGTTAACAAAAATTATACAATGACCATCTCAGTTATACCAGTTACATGTCTCTTGCAAGAATTTTGTCTGAAAGATGTACACATCGGTGTAGACAAAAGTAGGGGCTCGAGGGCAATTACCCCAACCCCCAAATAATTGGGTTTAAGATATTTCTCAACATATGCTTTAATTTGTTGGCGCAATAAGAATCCTGTTGGTAGTACTAGGTGTCAGCAAATATTAGCTCTTCTTCTTCCTGTTCAGTTTTCAGGCTATATTCTGAATTTACGCTCATCTTCAGTTTTTGTTATGCTTCATATTGTATGCAGCACGTACAGAGCTCCAATGAACCCCTTTTTAGGCTTATTGGATTTAACCAACTGTTCTCCCACCTTCTTATCAATATTATTTTATTGGCACATTCACTCTCTTCCCCCATCACACATATAAAATTAAAAAACATGTGGTTACACTCATAGATGTACAGAGAATGTATGTGCATGTCGAACTGCTCACCATGATCTTCATGGTATTGAAACCAGGAAGTGACTCCATGAAAAATAAATCTTTTTGACTTCAGAGCTGAACTCATACTGATGCCTTAAAAAGAAATAAGAGTAGGGGGAGTATACCTTCACAAATATCATCAACATTTTAACTAAAATGTGTTTTTCATTTGCCCCCAACTGTTGTCTTCATGGAAATAGAATCTTAAGGTGCAAAATATTGAGTAATGAGGCATCATAATGTTTTAAAATCTTTATCCTTTTCTCTACATCAATCAGAGTAATGTAATGTATTGTGTACTTAAGGCATTAGGGAGAATGAATAAACATATTCTTGTATCACAAATGCTTTAATGTATTTTGGGATATTTTTTTTTCTTCTTCAAACATGATTGTATTGTTTGAACATCATTACATGTAATTCCTCTACATTTTTTAAAGGAACAACTTCATGATAATTTTTGAAATGCCAATTTATTCATCAAATTTGCTGCATATTTACTTCTTTTTTGACATAAGAATAGTAAAATGTTCCAAATTAATTGGATATGTACGATCCTAACTTTCAGTGTAAATGTTCGAATATGGTAATTGTATTCAGGAAAAGGATTAACTGTTTCCCAAAAATTACAAATTCTATGTACCATTGCTCCAGAGTTTTCAGTGCTTATTCAGTAGATACATTTTTGAAACTTGATTCTTAAAACCTGTATTCATTCATATTCAAATTGATTCGGAAGCAGTTATATGATATTTGCCCTTGTGAAATAGTGAAAAAGCAAGGAGTATCACCTTTAACTAACAATGACTCAGTTCTATATGTAATCCAAATCACCTTTCAAATGTTCATGCAAGTCTCATGCAATTTGTTCAGTGTATGTTCTTCTCTTTTTGTGCATGTACACAAACCCATGCCCTCGTCCTATATTGTTTGAATAGCAGGTGTGTTATTAGTGATTGTTGAATCGTTCAATCACTGAATGCTAGGATTTTGTTTGCATCTATTCAAACTTTTTTATTTAAAAAAAGTATTTCCTCTTTTATCTATACGTCTAACAGTTGTAACTATTGTGTATAAACCAGGATTTGAACCAGGAAATGCGTGAATAAATTTGAATGCATGTATAGACTATTATGGAACTTGCATGGCGTATGGAAGGTTATGGCGCTCATTGGGGCCTCCTTACAAAAATTGAATGGGGTGCCCAACCAAATTTGCCAACAGAGGGGAACAAAATATATTTTTTGCTGCAGGAAGTAAGAAAGAAAAATAAGTTGAATACTAACCAACAGCAATTAAATATTTTCAGACAACAGTTAAAGATTTGCCCGCCCCCCCTCCAAAAAAAAAGGGATATTACTTCTTGTGGGTTATATCATATGAGCACATGGTCATGTTGTTAAAATCTTAATTAAGAGGTATGAACAGGTAGGCCTAAACTATACTGATTTCTTGTTTCTCAGAAACAAAGGCATATTTATGATGATGAATAATGATAATATTAATTATACATGTATTTGTATTAAATGTATTTGTATATCAATTTACATTTACACTCCAATTCACTAAACTTGTATCTAAAAGACTTTGAAATACATGTTATCATCATGAAAGTATCATGCATTACTGGGTTTTTTGAAACACAATTTACAGATATTTTTAATGCTCTACTGCATTTTTGCCTTAAGTCATAGTTTTGTGAAATATGTTAAAAATTTAAAATAAAAAAATGCTCCGTTTTTATATAGAAAAATGGACATGAGAACATACAATATTTATCTAGAACAAGAAGAACATAAGTAAATAGACATTTACTTTACACAGCACTGGCATAACAGCCTTTTTTTAAGTCGGAGGTTAATACGTAAGTGTAAGTATTTATTCAGATACCCATATTCAACCATATAAATGATGAAAGATATTCCAAGGCTAATGATAGTGTAATACAGTTTAAATGCTTGTAATGTGTATTTGCTTAGATAAATAATTAGTTGCAACATTCTTAATGGCTAAAGTCGTGATATCCAATGATGACTGCACATAATTAAGTATCCTGAATTTTTTGCATATTTTCGTGACTGAAAATTTGTATATGGAGCAATTGATATTCGAAAAGTGTCAGAAAGTTAAATTTTTGTAAAAAATTGTTTCATTTGATATTTTTGTTTGTAAATTTGATTGTTTTCGCTGATTTTGTACTGGTTTACAGCCTGATGTGGTGATACATGTAAACACATCAAGACAGTAAAAAGTTTTACTCAGACAAAATAAAGAAGAAGAAAATATTGATACAAAAAAAAGATTTCTGTTCCTTGTGTTATTTGTCTGCCTTTTCACACTGAAAGATCAGATACTGTTCATTTGAAATAATTTACCATTCTTAGATTGTTTGTCTGATTGATTACGATTTCTCTATTATTTCTCCTCTTTCTTTGTCTGTCTGTCTGTCTGTCTCCCTCTTTTCTATCTTTCTTTCTCTCTCTCTCCCTCTCTCTTCCTCTTTTCTACCTCTCTCTTTCTCTCTCTCACTCTCTATCTCTCTCTCTCACTCTCTATCTCTCTCTCTCTCACTCTCCCTCTCTCTCTATGTCGTGATAACATTTAAGATGTCCAACAAAGTATTGCTTTATGTTTTATTTCTTTTTGAAATCACTTGATATGACCACTAAGTAATGTTTGTTTACGCTTTCACTAAATTGACCACACATCAATTTTCAACAATTAAAAATCAGTAGGCCAGAAAACAAAGTCCAAAATGTCCCATATATACGGCATACACTAAATATCTCTTTACCATTATACTTGACACATTAGGCAGAACTAATACACGATATTGCCTTCCATATAGATGGAAAGCAATAATCGTCTGGCACCGCCCTATATCGTATGCAAATTATGCATAATCCTGACAAATTAATTGGTTTGCTCTTGGGTGGGGTATAGATCCATTTGACTAAAAGCCTTTTGCAATCAAGTAAAATTACTAATGGCTCATCGGCTTCTAAGGACACCGGCTGTATTATTGTTTTTAGGGGTGGAGTAAACGCAATGCAGTGCAAAGATTATAAGCATCGATCAATGTCATCATTTTTTTTTTCTTCTTCAATAATTCAACTATGGTTATCATGTATTATCGGCATTAAGTTTACGGAAAGGTTTTTGATACCTGTTGATTTTCTAAAAGCGTTATTGAAAAAGAACCTGTTAAAAAACGAGATTAACAGCTTCCATGGGTGATTCTGGCTTTGGACTAGTACGGACATTCTTATGTTTGTCCCAGCGTTGTTTTGCTGACAATAATCGTTCAATCCTCTCTAAAGTGTTAGGAGCCCAACAAATATGAAGGCAAAAATTCACTTCAATTGTATAATAGTCAAAGAGGATGTCATTTAACACTGACTTCTGCAAGGATTTTCAGAATAAAGAATGCCAAATGTAGGTTTTCTGCGTAAACAACAGAAAACCCAAGTTTCGTATTCTTTCATCAATATTCATCTTCAAACTGTCAAGTAATCGTTAAAGCCTCTCTAAAGTGTTGGGAGCCAAACAAAATTGATGGCAAAAATTCACTTCAATTGTATAATGAAGTGAAAGAGGATGTCAATTAACATTGACTTCTGCAAGAATTTTTGGAATAAAGAATGCCAAATTTAGGTTTTCTTCGTAAATAACACAAAACCCAAATTTGTATTCTTTCATCAATATTCATCTTCAAACCGCTATAGTAATCGTTAAAGCCTCTCTAAAGTGTTTGGAGCCCAACACAATTGATGGCAAAATTCACTTCAATTGTATAATGAAGTGAAAGAGGATGTTATTTAACAATGACTTCTGTAAGGATTTCCAGAATAAAGAATACCAAATTTAGGTTTTCTGCGTAAACAACACAAAAGCCAAGTTTCGTATTATTTCATCAATTTTCGTCTTCAAACACATTTTTGGCATTTTTGGCAATCCTTGCAGAGTTGAGTGTTATACATCCTCTTTCACGTCATTACACACTTTAAGTGAAATTTTGCCATCATTTTTTAGCGAATTTGGGGCTCCCAGCACTTTAGAGGGGCTTTAGAGGAAAACAAATGAGGCTTTATACAGAGAGAGAGAGAGAAAAGGAAAAAAAAGATGTCAAAGCCTTCCACCCTCCCAACACCCTCTCGACTAGACAACACTTTTGCTTCTGAACAGTACTCTTTCCTTCCTTCAATTTGTTTTCGCCTTTGTTTTCCTTTTTTTTTTTTTTCTTCCTTTCTTTCTTTTCTTTTCTGTCAACTTGACTGTCTTTTGTTTGATTAATGCATAATTTGTATGTACGTCCATCCTGACTGATTAGGGAATTGAGTTGTAAGCATTGGTATGAAATTGCCGCCCCCCCCCCCCTCTCTCTCTCTCTCTCTCTCTCCCTTTCTCTCTCTCTCTCTGTGTTTCTCTCAGTCTCTCTCCTGTCAAATCATTGAAAATTAGATTTAAGAATGCCATATTATACCTTTTAGAAGTTGATGAGGAATGCATAATAAAAGAACCGATGAACATGCTCTATTTCATCACCATTGTGACATTTGCCATAATGGCCTCTACTAAAATTGCACGCTACCGTTGGTCACTGCAGGTGTCATGGCGGTAAAATCACCGATTGAGAGGAGAGAATATGGAAGTGGGTCGCATCACCATCTATATCTTTTTATGTTGCCTCCCCCTTACCCTTTCCTCCTTTCTCTTCTTCTATTTCTTTGTCTCTATTATATCCTTATTCTATTGTTTTTTTAAAGTTTATACTTATGTATTATTCATTGCGTACGTATTCGTATATATAATATCTAATATAATATAATATAATATTCATTATGGATTGGGGATCATAAATCCAGCACCATGATCATCAGTTCTTGTTTTTTAATCATTCGTTTCTCAAAATCTTAAATTTGACATATTATCGGAATCTAATTTGCAAAGATTTGAAAAGGGAGAGAGAGGGAGGAAGGTTAAAGAGGGAAACATAACGTTGTTATATCACTGCTTGTAAGTCAAGCCACCCCCTGTCCCATGCCCCTCTTATCTACGCCTTTGATTTAACATAAGTATGCAAAAGATGATGATCACATTGTATTCCATTTCATCATCAATGTGACATTGTCATTATTGCATATGACCTTAAACCATCACAACAATAAATGTAAGTGGCCAGGATGGAATGTTGAGAACAAAAGAAATGGCCGTGGTAAAGACATTCCATCAACGGCACTCAATAACTTTTCTCTTTATGTTCGAGCTCATCCACCATGGACAATGCCACTTTTTGTCGATAAAATGATTCAGGAGAATACAAAGCCAAACAATCAGGCATTATCTATGGTAGCCAAGACGGGACATCGCGAATCATGAACTTTCTTGTGAAATTTGCGACAAAGTTCATGATTCGCGATGTCCCTTCTGGGCCACCATAATTATCTCAAAAGAGCAACAAAAAGGAATAATGGAAGAGATTTCAACACAATCAGGTAATGTCTGATGGAGGGATTTCATGCCTAGGCCTACGGGTAATTACGTTACAGCTGCATTTTCATGTTGGGGGACAGAAATTGATAGGATAACATAGCCGATAAGATGAAGGGGTGAATGCGTGGGTTTTTGAAACTTTATTATCTTAAATTGCTTTAAATTCCTGCAAATAATTTCGTTAAATGTGGTCAAAAGAAAAACGACTCCATTTTCAGATGCTTTTTTTTTAGTTATATCTGAAGAGAGAGAGAGAGAGAGAGAGAGAGAGAGAGAGAAAAGGGGTGTGAAATGTTGCCGGAAGGGGCAACCCCCCCCCCCCCCCCGCTAAAAAAGTGCACTTTTTGATTTGCGTCATTATGGGGCTCCTCTAGCTCTACGCACCAGTGGAAAGTGGAATTTTAAAAAAGTGTCAAATCGCCCAATTTTCCCCCTTTTCAAAGCTGCTAGTGTTAGAATAGAAGTGTTCGAGGAAATATAAATATCGACATACCTTTATTATCTTATTACAAGCGGCGAATGGTCCAATTTTCCCCTTATTTAAAGCTGCTAGGGTTAGAAAAGAAGAGTTCGAGGAAATCGGGGAGGAAATATAAATATCGACATACCCTTATTGTCTTATTGGAAAATGGCGGGTGGGTCAACACGCAATACGTCATTTTTCTACGAACGATCATAACATTTGGTTCCCGCCCAGGACACACACAATGACACACACACTCATTAGCTAATTATCCACAACGCCTACACACTCGTTCAAGGTATATAATCAATACTCCGTCTATACTCTAATTAGTTATCGTGTCTGTTTTATTATTATTAATATGAGTCATTTTTATATTTCTTTCTTGACTCAATTATTGAAATCATCAAGGAATTCACTAAAGTGGATGAACGGGTGTGACATCCCCATAAATCCATGATAAACATCTGTCACCGAATTCAGGAGTGTAGACAAAAGTGTACCGTACATTCGGTAGCCCTTTTCTTACCCTTGAATTTATGGACAAATTTCTAAATGCATTTTTTCTTTTAAGTGGTATGACATTCTGTAGGGCAACGCAAAAGTCTGAGGACCTTTTCATCACATGTACATCTTTAGAATTTTAAATTCCAAGTCCCTACATTTTATCCTCTTTTTAGCATTTCGAAACCAGTAGGATGATATACATGTACCAATGCTAGGAAATCTGGTTCGGGAATCTCCCCCATGCAGCCAGTCAGTCCATTTAAAATGCTCAAGCGACGCCTCTAGAAATCGTATTTACAAAAGAGGTGACGATTTGAGTCGTCTTGAATAGCGTCACAGACTTCGTTTTTGACATTTTTAACACCTCTACCACCTTGCCTCAACATCACATCACCGGTCCGTTAAATAAATATTACCAATAACTCGCTGTATTTGCAGAGACTATATTTGTATCGTTGACCAAGGCAAATACCATAATTTATAACCTTGCCACACGTTTACTCTAGAAATGTGAATATTTGTATGATTCTTATTATGATTTTGTTTCTTTGACCTCAAAAGATTTGACCTCTAAAAAAGTCACAAGGGATCTAGGTTGTCATTTTTTAAATATATCTAGGATTGTAATAACGCATCATTATTTTGTTTGATCGCGGGCCTATTATTATTTAAGGATATTATAATCATTGAGATTGAAATTATCTCCCCTTTTTAAATGATTAGGATTATCATTATCACAGACAGAGAGCTGGTTAGGATCAGAGAAGGAAGGTCGGTTAATTGGTGGTACATTAATTACAGTGGTGGATCCAGACTCTCTATCGAGGGAGTAAGGCA